ATGCAGCTGGCTTTTTTGGGACACACACAATTATTCAATTCGTCCTATTACATTCGATAAATCCAGCCTATTTTCTATTGTGAAGCCTGACTACTGTTTTGTCTGCTAGTAAATCCCTTTCCAGCTTAATTTCCCTGCTAATTTGATCAGGATGCCATCAAGTCCTCATCCAAGTCCCAAGAGGACAAAGGCAAGGTGAGCATGCATTCATTTATCAGTCAACAAATTTACGGAGAGCCTGATACATGCTAGCACTGGGCCGGTCCTAAGGATACAATGGAAAGCAAAAATTGGCATTCTCTGCCCTCGCAAGATTTACCCTATAATGGAGGAAAAAACTAATCAAATAATCACTCTAAATACTACATTAATACAAACTAGGTGTGCCAAGGATAAGAATGTGGTTTTATGACAGCATGTAACAAAGTAACCTGACTCAGGCAAGAGTCTTAAGAGAAAGTGACCCTGAAGACTGAGCAGGGTTGGCCTAGTGAGGAGGGAAAGGGAAATACACCAGATGGAGGATATAAACAAGCACTGTCCTATTAGAAGATTTTCTTCACACTATTTGTTAGTAGGCTGCTTAATTCCACTGCTGTGCAGCTTCCATTTCTCCACCTTGTTTCGAAGGTTATTTTGAATGACAGACTGACTCTTCAAGGCCAAACAGAAGTCTAGTTCACCAATCAGTTCTTATAGAATCCACTCTCTTGAAACCAGGAACATTTCCTAACTCGAGTTTTCTCGCAACATTCCCCCCATACATGATCCTTCCAAGTCAACGACTACATTTTCACAAACATCATCTCTAAGTTTTCTTCACATTCAAGAGGTGATTTAACAGAACTAAAGACTCAAGAATTAATTAAAGCAGCTAGAATGGTATTTTTCCAAGTGTGATCCAAGGACCAGCAGCATCAGAACCACCTGAGGTGCTTGTTAAAATGCAGGTTCCTGGGCACCATCCGAGACCAATTGAATTAAGAGCTGAGAGAGCTTGGGAAGCTATACGTAACAAGCTCCCCCAAGTGATTTTTTGCTTTACTGTTTGAGAATCCCTGAATTAGTTGTGTTCTCCCAGCACCCACACTCATATGGAGCTTTAATCCCTGATACTTAATCCTTCTGAGTCTGAAGTGCACTGGAGCAGTCTGGCAAAGGGAAAGCAGGGTTTCTAAGTCAGAGATCTGGATTTAAATCTGGCTCTACTACTTGCTATCTAGGTGAGCTTGGACAAATTAGTTTTCCCAGGCCTCAGTTTCTTCATCTATAACATGTGGATAAGAATGGCTACTTCAGGGACTTCCTTGGTGGCGCAGTGGTTAAGAATCCGCCTGCCCAATGCAGGGGACACGGGTTCGAGCCCTGGTCCGGGAAGATCCCACATGCCACGGAGCAACTAAGCCCATGCGCCACAACTACTGAGCCTGCACTCTAGAGCCCGCGAACTACAACTACTAAGCCCAAGTGCCACAACTACTGAAGCCCGTGCGCCTAGAGCCCGTGCTCCACAACAAGAGAAGCCACCGCAATGAGAAGCCTGCGCACCGCCACGAAGAGTAGGTCCCACTCGCTGCAACTAAAGAAAAGCCCACACGCAGCAACGAAGACGCAATGCAGCCAAAAATAAATAAATAAAATAAATAAATTTTAAAAAAGGAAAAGAATGTCTACTTCAGAAGGATGCTGTGGCATTTAATCAGGAGAGTCAGAACAATGACAGAGGAAGCCTATCATTCTTTGGAAAATTTATTGAGGCCTATATACCATTTATAGCAAGATGAATAAAACATTATCAGGCACTGTGCTGCATACCACGTATACCAGGATGAAGCAAACATTGTCCATCTTGTTAATTTGTTGTTTGTTCATTGCCCCTGTCCCTTGGTGGTTAAGGTATAAATTATTCCTGGACTTTTCCAACCCCTGTGCTGTTTTCTGTTAACAGAATCCCACAAAATAATGTAGTCTCCACCTGCCCTTGAACCACTGTACTTATGCCAAAGTCCTGAACCTCTAGCACGGCTTCAACCTGAATCTTCTTCACCAGCCTTCTCTCTCACCCACCTCCACCTGAGTTTGAGCACCTCGGATCAAACGCTGGTTCTGCTGCTTATTAGTATAAGGCCTTGGTGAAGTTACTTACACTCTCTGTGCCTTAATTTCCTCATCTGAGAAACAGGGATAGTAAGAGTGCTTTTTTTTTTTTTAAGATTTTTTTGATGTGGACCATTTTTTTTTAAGATTTTTTTGATGTGGACCATTTTTAAAGTCTTTATTGAATTTGTTACAATATTACTTCTGTTTTATGTTTTGGTTTTTTGGCCGCGAGGCATGTGGGATCTTAGCTCCCCGACCAGGGATCGAACTCGCACCCGCACCCCCTACACTGGAAGGCTTAGTCTTAACCACTGGACTGCCAGGGGAGTCCCAACGGTGCCTATTTCACAGGGGTTTTCCCAGTATTAGATGATACTCAGTAAGCACTCGTGTTAGCTATTCTCACTGCCACTGCGTCCACACTGGCAGCTGCTTCGTCTTAGTTCTCTGAAGGTCCTCAGCTCCTCCTTACCTCAGGATTTTCACTATTCCCTTTGCCTGTAATGCATGCGCTCTGCCTCTTCTCACAGCCACCTTCCACTCCTTCTTCCGGCTTAAATGTCATTCCTCTGAGGCTTTCTGATCCACCCCCTCCACTGAACAATTAGGTTAAGAACCCCTGTTAAACACTCATTCAATCTGTACTTTTCCTTTGAAGCGCTTATTATCATAATTCAACATGTGCACTCCATTAGAATAGGGAATGTGTCTTACACTGCTCCACATCCACCCTGATAATTAGCACAATTCTGAGTCCATAGCAGCAGCATGAAATAATTTAAGTATCTGAGGAATGAATGACTTCTTAAATCTGACTATGCCCAATATTTCTCTCTTGGAATTGTAATAACATCTAACGATCAGTCACTTTTCTGCTCAGGGGCAGAACTCTTCACTCCCTTTACCTTCGAGATAAAATTTTCAGAAATGTAAATCAAGAATTCAACAAATGAACTTTTGGCTGAGTGAGACTTCCAGGAGTGTACGTCTTGACTCCAAGTTCCCTTTGATCTGCACTGCTCAATATGGTAGCCACTACCATATGGGGCTACTGAGCACTAGAGATGTTGCTAGTCCAAAGTGAGATATGCTGTAAAATACACTCTGGATTTTAAAGACTTGGTACAATAAAAGAATGTTAAATATCTCATAATTTTTAATATTTATTACATATTGAAATGATGTTTTGGAAATAAGGGGGTTAAAGAAAAATATATTATTAAAGTTAATTTTACCTGTTTTTACCTTTTTAAATGTGGCTACTAGAAAACTGACATATATGCCTTGCATTGGATGCAATGCTGTTTTAGACTACCTGCCTAACAGGTATGTTGTATTTCACCACAACATCCCTCCATTTCTTCTCATTTTAATCCATAACAAAACATACTCCAAATTCCTTCATCGGTTTTTCTCAATGCTATTTCTGATGCATAGGCTACTCCATCACCCCTGTCAACACATCTGATCCTTTTTAATAGGGTAGTTTCCTACAACCATATTTAATCTTGGGGCTCGCGACATCGAATTGGAGATTTACCATCCTGTGGCTACTTTATTATTTATACTGTAAACATTATGACTAAGAACACAAGATCTACAGCAGACCACCAGTTTTGGAGTCCTGGCTCTGGTACTTACTAGCTGTGCAACTTTATTACTCTTAATATCTATCTCTGTGCCTCAGTTTCCTCAACCGAAAAATGGGGATGATAATATTGTCTACTGCGTAGGGTTCAGAGTATTAATTGATGTTGGTAAAGTGCTGAGATGGTCCCTGACACACAGTAAGCATTCCATAAGTAATGACAACTATCTGCATCATACACAACTCTCACCCTTCCCATCTACTCATATATTCTCTTGTAACACTGCGCCCCTCTCCTAGTGACGTTGTTCTTTCCAAATCTGAGATTTTACACTCAGATCTTCTAACTCCAAAACTCTGCTACACCCCAGCTGAGAGTAGCACTTGGGTAAGGTACTTCTCTCGATTTTCAGTTTCTTACCTGTAAATGACAGTGGGTATTGCCACCTTCCTTTGCACAAGTTTGAATGACACAATGTATATAAAGTTCCTTGCATGGTCCTTGGCACCTTATGGATACTTTATTTGCATTTTATGATTTAAAACATGTGACCCTAACAATACACCAATGATAAGTACTTTATGGAGAAGGAAACAGGCCGGGAAGTCAAGACTTGCCCGAAGTTGCACAGATAGTTACACGGCAGCGCCAATACCGGAACGAGGCTTCTCTCTGAGTCAAATGTTTTTTCATGAAACCAAAGCTGCTCTCCAAAAGCATGAGCGCTAGAACTAAATTCATGCTGTTTATGGCATTCCAATATTTGAAGAAATGCAGCAACTGGCAAAGCTGCCCACTGAAACTGCAACGGAAAATCAAAATACAGGTTTTCTTAATACCATTTTGAGGTCAAAGAACCCGAGAGCCCTAGAGTTGGCGTCGTGGATGAAATTTCGGCAAACAAAATAGCGACAAGCTCCTCCTCTAGGCCCCCCGGGAAAGTGCGGGGAAGGAGATGACGAATGTTTGGGCTTCGGGCTGACCCGGCGGCTCCGGACCCGGAGGAGGCCACGACCGCGCCCGGCCGCCGGACCCTCCCCCTCGGATCTCGGGACCCAGCGCTGCGCCCGCCCGCCCCTCACCTCCGGCTCCGGGCGCTCCGAGGCCATCACACAGCCCTCCCGCGCTGGCCCGGGCCAGAGAAGCTGCTCCGCTCGTGACCCCTGACCCGGCGGCCTGGCGACCGGCGAGACAGGAAGTGAGGGGGAGGGCCGAGTCCTGAGCTTTCTGATTGGCTGACTTGGGAAACGGAAGAGGAAGTCTTTGACACCGCCCCTGTTGCCGCAATGCAGGTGAGGGCCAGGTTGGCGCTAGTGACCGCTAGCTAGCTTCGGGTATCGGGGACCGAGAGTGGGCTGGCGGAGGAGGGAGTGAGGAGTTGGGGCTGAGAGGAGGGGGTAGAGCCCTCGACCGTCGAATAAGGGGACGCGCGATGGGGCAGAGGCCCACTGGCGAGGGAGCGGCGCAGATGAGAGATGGGGGTAGAGCCCGGCTGATGGGAGACAGACTGCGGTTAAGTCGGGAGGGAGAAGGCAGCACTGACTTGCTAGGGTGTGGGAAAGGATCAGGTTGTAATTTGGGAAGGTTGAGGTGCAGTCCAAGGAAGACGGCTCAAGAAAGTGGTGGATCGGCTCAGGCCCCGGCCTAGGCTGTTGGATGGCCGTTGTCGGATGCCGACAGAACAGGTAATCTGTAATTGGAGAGAAGCCCGAGGGTGGAAGGAATTGTGGGACCGCGGTGGCCAAAAGCCAGACTAATATAATCTGAGGCCGTGGGTGGAACCAAGGATCAAGGCTTCTGTCCTGCACGTTGGCAATTTGCTAAGACAGTTTTGCTTCATTCTTCCTAGTCTGTGCCCGTTTTTCATTTGTCACTTAGTTTCTTGCAGCTGGTAGCCTCTCCGTAAGCTTTTATAGGTTGACTAAGCTTGTGAAAGGGGCACAGGAATATTGGCACAGAGATAAAATGAGTGCAGATTAATTTAGCAAGGAGGAGGTTAAAGGAGCAAAGACTGAGGGCAAATGAAGGTGGGGGATGGCCGCGGTGGTGGCGGCGGCGGCAGTGGCAGGTATTCAGAAGAGCCTTCATGTGTAGGTAGATTTTCCAGAGATTGTATCGTGGGCAAGAACGGCTACACTCACCGGCAGGTTTTAGGACAGAGGAAGTCAGAGTATGTATGCTGCAGAGGTGCCCAAAAGACAATAAACCCCAGGCATTAGGTCTGGTGAAAATTACTCAGTGGGAGAGAATAGAGTGTACCTAATACAGAGAAAAACCAGGCCTGGATTGGGAGCAATGAGAGAAAGGAATCAGTAGGTAGGAGGAATTGAGGTCAGATGAATGGGTGTAAAGGTCTAAGGGTTGACGCTGTCTGTAACCCTAATACCAAAGAAAGTAAACAACCTGGCTCTCACTATGCCAATGAGATCCTGTGTCACTGGACTGGTATCGCACACTGTCATTCTGGCTTTTCAGCCTTCCTCTGTATGTGTCATCCTCACACTCATCTGAGTAACCAACCTATTCCTATTGGTGCAGAGGGAGGAGAAGCAGCTTGAGGCATCATTAGATGCACTGCTGAGTCAAGTGGCTGATCTGAAGAATTCGCTGGGGAGTTTCATTTACAAGTTGGAGAATGAATATGACCGGCTGACCTGGTAAGGGTTGCCAGGGCAAGCTGGGGAGGGCTCCATGGATGGGGGGCCAGGCCACCTGCTGGATAGGACATCTCCAGTGACGTAACCATTTATCAGTTTGCAAACATCTCTTGATTTAGAAAGAGTTGGGTTTCCCAACATTTAACACTGAAGTTGGCTTTGGGCCCCCATGGTAAGGAAGTAGAGAAATGCCCAGTTTCCCAGCCCAGGTTCTCACTATTTTTTTTTTTTTTTTTTTTTTTTTTGGCGGTACACAGGCCTCTCACTGTTGTGGCCTCTCCCGTTGTGGAGCACAGGCTCCGGACGCACAGGCTCAGCGGCCATGGCTCATGGGCCCAGCCTCTCTGCGGCATGTGGGATCTTCCCGGACCGGGGCACGAACCCACGTCCCCTGCAGCGGCAGGCGGACTCTCAACCACTGCGCCACCAGGGAAGCCCCTCTCACTAGCTTTTGATTCTCATCATTTGACTTCTCTGGGAGGAGGTCCTCCCGCAGTGGGTCCTCCCACTACAGTATTCATACTGGATCTCTTGCCATGGATGTTGCTGAGTCTTTTAGGTCCAATCTACTCTGGAAGTGTGGATACTATTTTTAGGCCAGAAGGGAGACTTTTACCCAGTTTCTGAAGTTTTAGTGATAATAGTGTAGCCATGGTTCCTATTTTGCCATTGTCCTTACCCCCATTCATATATAGTAGTCCCCCCTAATCTGTGGGGGATAAGTTCTAAGACCCTCTGTGGATTCCTGAAACTGTGATAGTACTGAAACCTTTACTGTATATACTATGTTTTTTTTTCTATACTAATGGGGTGGGTAGCGTATACAGCATGGATATGCTGGACAAAGGGGTGATTAACGTCCTGGGTGGGACAGAGCAGGATGAAGCAAGATTTCGTCACAGTGATCAGAACAGCGCCCAGTTTAAAACTTATGGATTGTTTTTTTCTGGAATTTGCCATTTAATATTTTTGGACTGTGGTTGACCACAGGTAGATGAAATCTCGGAAGGTGAAACTGCAGATAAGGGGGGCCTGCTATAATGACCTGCCTTTCTTCTCCGTCTGTATCAGAAACTGAAAGTGTGTCCCTCTTTCTTAACCCCATAATCCCTGTGAGCCAGGCTAGTTCCTGCCCAGGCCAGCCGTAGGGCTATGAGTGTTTTGGGGGTGAGTCTGGGTATTCCTAGTCTGAAGGACCCCCTTTGAGGCTCCTTTACTGGGAACATTCTGACACCTTCTTTCCACCACCAGGCCATCTGTCCTGGACAGCTTTGCCTTGCTCTCTGGACAGCTGAACACTCTGAACAAGGTCTTGAAGCATGAAAAGACACCACTGTTCCGTAACCAGGTCATCATCCCTCTGGTGTTGTCCCCAGACCGAGATGAAGATCTCATGGTAAGAGGAGGAGAGGGGTGCAACTTGGGAAATTAAGTTCTTAGATGAGGACTGAGGGCACAGTGGTTGGTTGGCTATTCTAGAAGTTCTGAATCTGCAGTAGTGTGTGGCAGTAAGAAGCGAGGGCTGCATTTCGGAGACTTTGCTTTTTGTCCTTCTGGAGTTGGGAGAGCCATTCCCAAACTGAATTAATCTGAGGCATATGTCACCAAGACAAAGACCTTTTTCCTCCAACACCTGTCTTGAGCAGAAAGTATGTTCTTTTGTGACTTTTTCTTTTTTTTCTTTTTTTTTTTTGTTGTCGTCGTTGTTTTTTGGCTGAGCTGCGCGGCATGTGGGATCTTAGTTCCCCGACCAGGGATCCAGCCCGTGCTCCCTGCAGTGAAAGCACGGAGCCTTAACCTTTGGACCACCAGGGAAGTCCCTGACTTTTTCTCTTTCAATCTTTGATTTAAATGTGGCAGAAATAGGTTTATCCTTAGGTCTGGTAGAGATAGGGGAGTGAGTAGACAGAACTGAAGGATGGAGTGAGGGGGATAGTGTCTTAGGAAACCAGATATTGTTAGTCTCAGGTTGTGTTTTCCCTGAAAATGCACTGTTTGCCTGTGGAAGGAACTATGTGTATATCAGGCCATATTGAATCTTCTTGGAGTGCAGAGTAGGATCAATAAAATCTGTGTGTTACAGAGGCAGACTGAAGGACGGGTACCTGTTTTTAGCCATGAGGTGGTCCCTGACCATCTGAGAACCAAGCCTGACCCTGAGGTAGAAGAGCAAGAGAAGCAGCTGACAACGGATGCTGCCCGCATTGGTGCTGATGCAGCTCAGGTTGGACTGAGTCACTGCCCTGCTGCCCCCACCCCAAATTTTATCATGAGAAGCTGGGCATTACCACCTCTGTATGGTAGGGATGCACAGCTGGTTACCCTCAGTTGCCCCTGGAATAGCCCAAGGAAGAAACTTCCCCGTAATCATTTCTTGCTTGCCCTAATCTCTGCACAAATTTATGTGTGTTGCAGAAGCAGATCCAGAGCTTGAATAAAATGTGCTCAAACCTTCTGGAGAAAATCAGCAAAGAGGAACGAGAAGCGGAGAGTGGAGGTATGGAGGGATTGGTGGCAAAACGGAGGAGGAAAGAGGGATAAGATCAATAGGAAGGGTGGTGTTGGTAGTGGTGAAGTGAGGACGAAAGGATGTGCTGCTTGGGAAAAGGTATGTGTCCATTCTGTTAGCCTTTTGTATTTCTGGCTAGCCCTGGAGCAGGTGGAGGAAATGGGCAAAGGGAGAAGGGCGTATTCTGAGATAGTCATGGGGGTCCTCTGGCTCTTCCTCTGGGCTGCCAGGGAGCCTAGATTCTGCTGAAGTCAGAACTCCAAGCCCTGGTACCCATACTGGTCTTCCTGCTGCTAGGTTCGGTCCAGGGCCAGAGGCATACCTCGGGGTCCCCACTTACCTTTTTCTTCAGGTCTCCGGCCGAACAAGCAGACCTTTAACCCAGCAGACACCAATGCGTTAGTGGCAGCTGTTGCCTTTGGGAAGGGGCTGTCTAATTGGAGGCCTTCAGGCAGCAGTGGTCCTGGCCAGCCGGGCCAGCCAGGAGCTGGGACAATCCTCGCAGGAGCCTCAGGACTACAGCAGGTGCAGATGGCAGGAGCTCCGAGTCAGCAGCAGCCAATGCTCAGTGGGGTGCAGATGGCCCAAGCAGGTCAACCAGGTAAGGTGACAGGGATTGGCATGGTGGCAGACCTTGAGCAGGGAAGTGGGAATAAGCTGGGTTATCTGGGGCCCCAGCGTCCCCAGAGCTGGAGATACTCTCCTTTTCTCCCTTGGACTGTGACCCAGAAAAAAAACTTTTGGAGTAAAAGTCTCATTTGAGACCCTTAATAGGTACCTGACAATGAGGAAGAACTTTGACAAGCAGAAACTGCTCTCGCCTCCCACCCCATCTCAGACCTCGGTCTCAACTACCCTTCTGTCCCCTTTAACTCTGGGTATTAGGTGTGTTCTCACTGTCTTGTCTTAGATAGAAAAATGAATGGTCAGACCTTCATTAGGACCATTGGGTAGGTGTGTTGGGAATGGACAAGCAGGCAAGTTTCCCGGTGCTGCGTGTATTCCTTTCTCTGTATCCTGTCTCTCCTGCTCGCTTTTAGTAATTATAAGAGCAGCCTGGCAGAGTTCAGATGCAAGCAGCTAGAAGAGGTATTTTCTTCCAAGCTGTCCAGACAAAGGGACAATTAAAATAAGAGAGAACATAGCACTCTTTTACCTGTGACATTAAATGGGGGTCCCACAGATTTAGTTCTCTTTTTCTAGGAGGGGGTGAGCAGGAGCCAGGTGTGTTCCAACCCCTCCCACTATTCCTCCTCCTAGACATCTTCAGGGAGAGGGCTGGACGAAGAGCCATACCTCTGAGCCTTGCCGTCCAGGGTCAGATGCCACAGAGATTCTGAGATGATAGCGGAGGTGCAGAAGGGAACCTGAGGGACCACATTTCTGATTTACCATGAACGTCTTACTGTGCTTCAGGTGTCTTTCTTCATGTTCCTTTTAGGGAAAATGCCAAGTGGAATAAAAACCAACATCAAGTCGGCTTCCATGCATCCCTACCAGCGGTGAGTGTGGCCGACAACCTCCACTCCCAGGTGCTCTTTGCAGAGTTGGGCAGTGAAGCTGCCTTTTGCCCAAAGCTGACCTAGATGGGTATAATAAAAAGAATACGGGCTTTCAGCCACAGACAGATCCCATCTCCAGTGCCGACTAGCTGTGTGACTTTGGGCAAGTGACCTAATTTTTCTGAGCCGGTTTTCTTGTTTATAAATGGTGATAATACCTACCTCATAGGGTTGTTGTGAGGATTAAAATGGGAAAATGAATGTAAAACACTTGGCACAGTCTATGAAATAATGGGTATTCAATAAATGAGAGTTTCTACAGCCACTTCTCCCCACTGCCCCCTCTTCAGTCCTCGATCCAGAACTTATCCTGATCTGATACTGCTTCACGTCTGTGGTGAGCTGATGGACACAAGATCATGGACCACTCAGCTCTGTTTGAAAGCCTGTGCTTATTTCGTGCTGCCAGAAACGGTGACAGCCTCTGTGTCCTTAGAGGCCTGCTGTCTCCGCAGGCCTTCCTGCCCAGATTCCATCCTGGCCATCTCTCCAAGCTGCAGGTGACGAGGCTTCTGGTCTGAGACAGACCGTCCACTTGTGGCTCTGGAGAAGCTCAGGCCTGCTCTGTTCTCCATCCTCTGAGAAGCCAGTTCAGCTCTTATCTGGGAAATAGTCACAAAGTACCCTGTCCTTTACCCTACACCTCACACACGAAGGAAGATGTTGAAGGCCCGGTATATGGGGGCTTCTTCAGGAAGTGGCTTTACCAGGCAGGATGATGTGAGAAAGGGTTTTTCTTAGCAGATGAAAAAGTCCCTTGTTCCCCAGACTCTTTTTTTCTTATTTTAGCGGGAGAGGGGAATTGCACCTCACACCATCTTTCATCATGGTTGAGTTATCCTCATAATTTGCCTGGTTCCTGGGCTCCAGCCAGGATGGTTTTTCTCCAGTACACTGAGCCTGTGGTTCCAATAAGGGCCAGGTGGATGGCGGGAGGTGGCAGCCGCCAGTACTTTTGCCTGCTTTTATAAAGCTGAGAGCAGAGTGGGCTTGGGTCTCCAGCTTAAGCTGCCTTGCTTAGCTCTTTGTTGTGAGCTAGGGCAGGGGTTGAGTCAGCAGAAGTGGACCAAAGGGTTTCTCTGAATAAAGTTATTTAAGTTGATGGCCACTGTATCAGGGTTAATCTGACAGATAAATTGAGACAGCTATGTAGGGATTGGAGACTACACGTCAGAGACTTTCAAGGTTGCTGCAAGGCAATTCTAATTTGTTTTCCAATAAAAAGTTTTCTTAGCTTTGATCTAAATGTCCTGAGAGGTAATAGGAGGCCCTTCTCACACCTTCCAGCTGCCTTTTTTCTGTTCTCTTCTGTCACACATTAGTACTTTGGCATTTGTTCAGTGCCAGGCAGAATTCTGCCAGGCTGTGGCAGCAAAGGGCCGGGAAAGTGGTTGCAGATGTCACATCCGTTCCCGTTCCATCAAGACAAGAAATGGTATTCACACAGCTCACTGATCATAGCACACAGGAGCACGGAAAGTCCTGCCATCAGCTCTGAGGCAATGTCAGACCTGTCCCCCACTTCAACAGTGCTCCCTTACCGGTCTATCAGCCCACTCAGATGTTCCTTATCTTCTCTTCCCTTCACACTGGAAATGTCAGAGCTAACTGTCATATTGGATAGAGTTCAAGGTGTGCTTCTCTAAAACCCCTGGAGCATCTTTTGGTGACTGATGTCCTTTATTCTACCAAAAGATTCCTTCCTATTGAAAGTTTCTTGAAAACTTTTTGGACCTATTGAAACCACCCCAAGTTTCTTTGTTGTCCCAGCCTAATATCGACGTCATTCCCAAAGTACCATCTGAAATGGATTCCTTGTCCTCCCAGAGTGGAAATGTCCTCCTGCGCCAGCAGGGACATATGCAGGACCCCACCTACATCTTGTGCCCTTAAACCAACAGTCCTTACTCCGCAGGCACTCATGTCTTTATATTCACTCCGGGAGCACGTGCTCTCATTCCCAACCCCTCAACCCCAGATCCTCTGGAGTGCACAAACCTATGTAGCATTGCCAACTTTGGGGCCCATACAGGCCAGTAAATGCCTCAATGGAGAGTATCTCCCATCCCTAACACACTCATTCCCAAAGGAGGGAATACAGAGTTTCCTTTCAAGAAGAGGACATTGACCTGCTCCCTTGCTCAGATTTCAGATTTGCAAAAGATGGCCCTCTTGCTCCACTCTGGTAGTGTTGCTCAGTTTCTGATGGCTCTGTTTGGCCTAGGGCTTGTGTTTTCTCCTACTCTTGGGGCCCCGGGAGAATGAGATTAGGCCATCGTCTCCCAGGTGTGTGTCTGGGATGGCGAAAGAAGCAGCAGCTGTGAAACTTCAATATTCTGTAGCACAGAGGTCATCCTGCTGAAGGTGGATGCATCAGTGTTCCCACGACACCCATTGCTAGGACCACTCCCTCTCCAGCTCTGCCCTGAGGCTGGGACTCAGTCACTGTTGAATGTCCCTTTTGCTGATTGCCCCAGTCACCCTGTTCTCTTCCCCTCCTGGTGTCTATTGCTGCCCTACCTAGCTAGGTCACCTAACTTCACCTTGCATTTTCTTGGGAAACAGCCAAGGTAGATAGGTTGTTCTAGCTAAGTGCTCCTTCTAACTCCATTATCAGTCCTGCCATGAGGACTGAGCTGCAGCGGGTGTAGCACCCACCTCCTGTCCTGCTGTTGAAGGGAAGAAGCTGAGCTCTGCAGGAATGCCCCAGTGCAAGGCTGGTCCCTTTCCCACCCCCTTCTCACCTCCCCCAGGCAGCTGGGAACAACCTCTCCCTTTGTCTGAGCTTCTTGTACAGAATAATCCTCCTTATGGACAATGTATTCTCTGTGCCCTGTGGACACAGGAGCCGTGTGAGCTGATCCCAGCACCAGGCAGGACGGAGGCGGAATCCTTCCAAATGCCCACCCTAGGTCAACTCCTGATTACTGTTCAGAGAAACTACCAAGGGGTGTACATTTTCTTCCATCTGTTCCAGATTTGGGGGGCTAGCCTATTGAAGTTTAGCAGTGGACCAGGAGTAGGGTTGGGGGCTGTGGTCCCTCTCTGGTTCAGTCCGGAGGGTTCACTGTACCGACCTATGGAGGCTCGATGTGGCTCTGGCCCGTCAGCTTTGAACGCACAGGGGCTAACACTTGGAAGGGGTTTGCCACCCTGCAGATGGGGCTTTCTAACTGGAACAGGTGAACTCCAATCCATCTGACAGGGCCAGGGCATCCATTGCTTCAACATGGGTTTTGTCCCACAGGACAAACTTCCTCTCTTCTTCCCTTTAACTTATCTCTCTTTTGTTCTTGAGCTCCTGTGCGTCTCTGAGGCAGCTCCTGGATCTCTCTTGTCATCTCTTTTTTTTTTTGCGCTACGCAGGCCTCTCCCTGTCATGGCCTCTCCCATTGCGGAGCACAGGCTCCGGATGCGCAGGCTCAGAGGCCATGGCTCACGGGCCCAGCCGCTCCGCGGCATGTGGGATCCTCCTGGACCGGGGCACGAACCCGTGTCCCCTGCATCGGCAGGCAGACTCTCAACCACTGCGCCACCAGGGAAGCCCTGTTGTCATCTCTTGATGAGTTCACATGTTCTCAAGATGTCGCCTACCACTTGCACATGGCAGCTTCCCCAAGTACATCATGGACAAGGCCCCTGACTTCCCTATAGGCCTCGGTTTTCTCGCCTAGGTGCTCCCAGTGATCCTTCCTAGCTTTAAAGTCTCTGGCAATGATTCTCCAGCCTGTTTATCCCTGGCATTTTTCATATTCCTCGTTGCATGACTATGTTATTATAGGCTAGGTTTTTCCTAGATCAGCCCGCCAATCCCTTGAACCCCTCCAAACTGTTCCTAAAGTTCCCTGTCACCTGCAGCTTAAAATACCCACATCCCTCTAGATCACTTCCCTAAAATTGTTTTCTAGCTTTCACTAGTTCTTTAGTGAAAATTCATCAAAGAGGTAGTAAGTTACCGCAGAGATAAATGCATTGAATGCCAGAAGTCACCTTCCCACTCAGGGAGCCCCCTCTCTCCCCCCGGGCAAGATATATGTACCAGAGAGACTCCCCCATAAAAGCAGTAAATTATACTTTTCCATGTCATGATACCCTTCCTTACTAAATCAAATCCAAGGAGCCCTAGGCTGCTCCCCTTCCCGCTTTGCCTCGGCCATTCCACTGCCTTCCCTGGCCCTCACCCGAATTTCCCTAGTTTATGGTTATTTTGATTCTTCATCTTCTCTGGCCCACACCCCAAATGTAGAGCATCCTTATTTCTTTTTTTGCACTAATTTCTCTGGGCTGCACCCATTTTCATGGCCTTGGTTAGTATGCTTCCATGTTAGTCCTTCTTGAGTCCATGTCCCCACTCACTGACACACAGCCACGCTCGTGAAATACAGAGCCTACCATTTTCCTGCACACCTCCCATTCACTCTTTAGCCCCACTTCCACCCTTCCTCGGGAACTACCCTGTCTCAGATCACTGCTGACCTGATGGCTAAATCCAGACTTTTTTCAGTCCTTATATTTCTTACTTATCTCCATGGTGTTTAACAGTGCTGGCCATTAACTTTTCACCTCTTGCCCTTCACCGGCTCCCACCTCTCTGGCCATTCCTTCTCTGCAGCTCTTGGCCTTTTGTCCCTCTGCCTGCTTCCTTTTTTTTAAAAAAAGCATTTATTTATTCGGTTGCGCTGGGTCTTAGTTGCGGCAGGCGGGCTCCTTAGTTGTGGCATGCAGACTCTTAGCTGTGCCATGCATGTGGGATCTAGTTCCCTGACCAGGAATGGAACCCGGGCCCTCCTGCATTGGGAGCGCATGCTCTTAACCACTGTGCCACCAGGGAAGTCCCCCTCTGCCTGCTTCTTGAATGTTGTTATTCTCCAGTACTCTGTCCTTAACCCTCTTTTCTTATTCTACCTGCTCTCCTTGTGACCACCACCTTTATGTACATAACTCAAACAGGTTTTATTTTCAGCCCAGACCTCTTTGCTGACTTGCAGATGCCTATTGGGTATCTCTGCCCATATGATCCACAAGTACCTCAGGTTCTGAATGTCCAAATCCAATCATCTTTCCCTTCAAACCTGTTTCTTTTCTAACATCCTAGGTGTGACCTAAGCCAGGTCTATGGAAGCCATCCTAAACACGCCCCCCCAACTCAATCAGATACTAAATCCTGTCAATTCTGTCTCCCCAGGATCCTGCCCTGCAGTTTAGGCCCTGGGCCTCTCACCCTAAAAGTATTGTTCAGACTCCCTGTATCCAGTCTTGCCCACT